AAACTCCCACTAAACTGGCATATTATCAAAAGATGCAACACCCATATGAGTATTATGCTCACGAAAGACCTGAGTGGTAGCCATTTAGTAAATGGATCCATAATTATGGAGTTTGTCGTAATATGTCTTACAGAAATCTAATCACTCTGAACTATTTATTTAACAACTAGGAATTTAATGTCTATAAACTTTGATGTTTTCAGGTTCCTGTTGGAATACAAGACTGCTATTGTTGTAGAATAACTAAAATGGTATTTCAAATCCATCCAAAATATACAGCTCAGTGATAATATTTTGCAATCATATTCCATGATCAGAATCAGAATATCGAATGATCTCCAATTAATCTGATTCTCTTGAATGTGATCATGTAATCCTTAATTCTTTATAGATACCGAATAATCTAATGGTTGCTTTCCAAATTTCAATCCTAGAGTTAATTAAATATCTGCCTAACATTTCAACAATGAATATTATATCCAAATGTATGCAAATTTAAGTATACATTAAACTCCCAACTACTAAAGTATAGGTAATTTCCCCTTTTTCCTTTTCTTTAAATTTATTATTGGGGCATTAATTAAAACTAAAATTGTCTCCCTTAGTTGTAGAGGTATCACTTGATTTACATATTTGCATTTCAAATTTCTTAAGAACCTTACAACTCTTTTGTGACAATCCAAAAATACATCAAGAACTATCCATGTGTATTTATATCCTTAATACAAAAGAGCTGTCAACAAGATTTTTGTCGTTTCAAAATTTCATGACAGAAATCTCCTGGTTTAGTGTAATAAGCTTATATAATTTTAGGAAAGCAGTATGTCATCGATATACAATACCAAAAATATGCTTACTCCCACCGAACATGTGGTATACACAATCATCAACCACATTCATCTCAAAACCAAACGAGATGATTATTTAATGAAATTTGTGATACCATTGACGAGAAGCCTACTTAAGCCCATAGATGTATTTCTTTAATTTGCAAACCATTTTCTTTGAGTCTCCTGACACAAAGTTTTCCGGTTGCACCACATATATCGTCTCATCAATGTCACCATTAAGAAACGTTGCCTTTACATCCATCTGATGTAGCTCAAGGTTAAAATGTGCCACAAGTGCCATTATAATCCTGAAAAAGTCTTTCATTGAAATTGGAGAGAAAGTGTATTTGTAATCGATGTCTCCTATTTGAGTAAAGCCCTTTGCAACAAGACAAGCCTTATATCTTTCCACATTACCATTCTAATCCCTCTTGGTTTTATATATTCATTTGCAACCAATGAGTTTCGTACCTTCAGGTAATGGGACAAGTTCTCAATTGTCATTGTCTTTCATAGACTTTATTTCCTCATCCATAGTATCAATCCACTTTTGAGAATTTTTACTTTTCATTGCTTGATGAAAGTTGATAGAATCTTCTTTCATCAATCCAATGAAATCCTCATGTTCTTGGAAAAATACTATAAAGTCATCCGGAATTGCATTTCTCCTTTCTTCATTTTAACATTCTTTCAACCAAAACACT